GTACCTAATATCAAATGGGTTTTAATATTTTTTTGCAGTGCATTCAGCTAGAAAGTAAACACATTGCCCTGACATCAACAACAATGTTTCCAATGCTAATGTTGTCCAATCTACCAGCCCGCCGTCCATCAGCCACGCCCCCATCTCGCCTCACCCCACCGCCTTCCTGGGCGGTTGCTGTTGGCTTAATTAAATTGTGGTTGCAACTTGCGAAGCGAAGCGCGTACACAAAAATCACACACAACAACAACAACGGGGCTGAGAAGCGAGTGCGGTTGCCACTTTATGATTGCAATTGTTGTTCTAGCTGCGGTGACTGTGGTTCGATTTTAATAGGCCATTTTTAGCATAGAACACCCTGTTCCTTGCGTTTGAACAAAAACACGACTTCAAGCTCAGGTGTTTTTTTTTTGGGATTTCTAGTCATGGATCTTTTTCAAAAATGCATACAAAATTAGATCTGCATTAGAAGATAACAGGATCTTATATTGCCTGCTTAGAAAGTCATGTCAATAAGAGCCTCGGTGGCGCAGTTGGCAGCGCGTAAGTCTCATAATCTTAAGGTCGTGAGTTCGAGCCTCACCCGGGGCATGTAATTTTTTTTATTTTTGCTTGATGAGTTTTAAAAATTTATTATGAGCTTTATGGTTTTTTTATGTGTTATATAATTTTCCTTAAAAGTAACTTTAAACAAAAAATATGTAATTATGCAACATCCGTTTAAATTAAAGTATTTTTTCATTTCTTTTGTTGTTTAAAGTTAGTAACTAAAAAATATTTATTAAAACTTTTAAATACATCTTTTGGTAAATTAAACTAAATATATATGTATAGATGTTATAACTTGTATAATCAATTATCAACCATTATTAATTTATTTAAGAAGTAACTGTAAACTAAATAGGATTGTTAAAAAGTATTCCTCAGTAACCTAAAATTTACAAAATCAAATCGAAGCTCATTAAAAAAACTCATTTTCCGTTAATTTGTTTTTTAATAGCTATACATAAATATATATATTTTTATTTATTTTAAAATTTAATTTAATTTATTTAATTAAACACAGTTTATAAATAGCTGAAGAGCAGGGTTTGCTTACGGTATCTATTATATTTTCGCCTCATTAAATTTGTAAACCGCAGAAATGCCACAAAATCTAGAGAAACCGCAACGAGGACGGCAAAAACTTGGCTAACATCATTATGAAGATTATGACGGTAGCCACATTATGCATAAATCTGGAAACAAAAACCAACAACAACATCAGCTAACCGAGGAACAGCAATTAACTTAACTAGCAGAAATAACAGTGTTGAACTGTTAGAATTACTCTATTTAACAGGGAAGCTATCTGAAATTCATGGGGGAACACTTTAAGTCTTAGGCCAAATCCAGCGGGAAACGAAATGCAATTTCCCAAGGACTCTCCGACTGAACAACAAGAAAATCGAGGGAAAATTCTCTGGAGCTGCAAGCTCAACTCTCTTCATTTGCCGCCCCAAAAAGTATGCAATGAAAATCGAAGCAAACGAAGTGAAATGCTCGTAAATTGTAGTTGGCTGACAAGTTGACTCCTGGCTGGATTTTCCCAGAGAGGTGGCGCCACCAGATGGGAGGTGGGTGTTGGGTAGCCGCCAGGATGTGCGGGATGACATTGCACTCGACTCGACTCGCCGACGAGTGCAATGAAACTGCAAAAGTTACTCCAGGCAAGCCAGGAAGCGTAAGGACTATCGAATTGCTGGTGTTTGTGTGGGCAAATGGAACCTCAGCTGAGCTCCTCACTACTCCTTATTTGCTCCTTGTGCACTCCCCGTTCAATGTATCTCTCTTTATTGTGCATTTGTCCTTTGGCAGCTCAGCGAAGGACAAAATTCAATGAACTATTTCCTGTCTTTGCTGATGCACTACAAAAATAGATTTCCGGAATTTTAAAAGGAATAAATAGAAATAAATTTAAAAAGTTTATTAATTGAAAAAATTTATTTAAGATTTTTTGTTGTAGCTCCCTTTTTTAATTGTTTATAATAAACGAGCTTTATTTTTCCTGTACCTTTTTTAAAAAGAGTTTAAAAATTTATTTTTCTATAAAAATCCGTAAATACGACATCTTTATTTTATATAAATATTTAATTTACATTCCTTATTAAAATTTATTATGACTATAATTTAATAGACAAATCTTTATCTTCTTGATTTCCACTTTGTTTTATATACCCATTCAAATAAGATCGATTTCGATTTTTCTCAAGTGTCTTGGGTGTCAATGAATGAAAATCATGGCCAAAAATAGACGGGAAAAAATAAATAAAAAGGAATTTGATACTCAAAATTTGGTCATAAAAAGGATTTTTATGAACCCGCTGCCACTTGAGTTCGCCTGCTCCCAGATGACCTTTCAGCGCTGGTCATCACCTGCACAGCTGCACTTTCATTAATATTGTGTTTTTGTTGCGGCTTCCCAAAGAGTTTTCTTTCAGACCAATTAAGTGCTGGCTTTCCTCCATTGCTTTCCTTCATTGTTGTTGGCGAGCATAAAATTCAATCAAGTTTTGTGTTGAGCCAAAAGTTACGATGGCTCAGACAAGAGCGCAGTTACCCCTTGAGCGCCCCACCCCGCCTTTTAAGCTCCCCTCCCCCCAACGACTGGCAGACAGACAGGACACGTTTGTCCTTACATTGTCCTCTGGTCGGTTGCTGTTGCATCCCATGGATCCCTGTCTAGACTTGAGTTGGTTGCCCCCAACCCACTGCCATGACAACCGCATGCGATTTATGCTGATGCGAGCATTTACCCCCTTGGCCCGCCCATCCCCCAATTAGCAACCCCCAGCTCCCTGCGACGCGTTAATATTATTAAATGCAAATTAAGCTTTATCCCATTTCATTCATTAGCGGCTGTAATTTAGCCCGCAAGAGTCCTTGTTTATTAGCACCTCGAATCGGTTGGGGTTTCACACGAAGTTAACAGGGGATGCAAAGGGAAACGAAGGTGTCGAAGGATTGGCAGAGATTTTAAAACATCGATTAGGCTTAAAATATACAACCTGCAATTTAGGGTTATTTATCTAAGTTATTCAATTTTATCGTTAATTAATTGAATAACAGTTTCAATTTAATGAATTCCAGTCCTTTTTCAGGATAGAAAAGGAAAGATGTTTAATTTGACTCAAATGTATGATTTGTTTTTTTTAATATTTAATTATCATCTCCAATTAAGAAGGTAAAATTTAAACTATGGGTAAATAAAATAAGTTAATTTATGAGTGAATTAAAACTAAAATGTCTTTTTAATATATAATATATATATATATTAATAATATTAAACAATCAACCACACAATTTGCACGAAATATCTATAGAAAATTCTTTAATTTAGATTTGCTATACGAAACCCATTTGCATCTCTGATTATGCCAGGGTAAAATGTGCAATTGAGGTGCAAATTCCCATGCGAAGATTGCCCCTTTTGTTGCTCCGTTTCTTGGCTAATTTGCAAACCAATTAAATGTCAATTTGAGGCATTGTTCCTTAACCTCTCGTTCTGCACCACACCTTCGGTGTTTTCTACCCCCATGTGGATAAAACTTTTTTTTCGCCACCGCCAAAGTTTCGCCCATTGCCTGTCTAGACTTCTTTGGCAGACTCTCACGACTTCTTCCTTTTCCTTCGACTGCAGCCCGACTTTTCCCCGTAGTTTGCATTGCGTAGTTTGCATAACTTTTTCCCCAAACTCCCCTGCCTTTTCAGCCCAGCGCCTTTCAACGGCTAAGTGAGTTTTAATGCCGACAAAAGCGCCCAAGGGCGGTGCTTTTTGGGTTTGGGGTTTCCAGCCAAATCGGCATACGTTGCGTATGCGTTATATGTGCATTTACAGTTGGTATGCTTAGTTTGAATATTTCACTCAATTCACTCATTATTCATGTCAGTTCGCCACTTGGTTTGCATTGGGAAAACTGTCGTCCCACGAAAATAACACTCCCCCTCCAAACCGCAGTCAGCCAGTCGGTCGGTTATGGTCAGAATCGGGAAAGTTACGGATCCGCAGGGAAAACGGGATGGGGCTTTCGTACTGGTCAAAAAATTGTATGCAAAAGGAAAAAACAAAAGGCCGAAAAATGCACATAGCAAGATGGAAAAGTTGATATAGGACTAGCCGAATTTTGAATACTTCATTAAAATCTATTAATAAAAAATATATATAATATATAGAAGAGGTTTACCTTAAAATTCGTACATATATCATTTAAATATAGTAATTTTATAATTAAAAAAAAAAATTACCTACTTGAGTTACCTAGGTTATAGATTTTTGCAACTATCAATTTCCAAAATTAGTTCTCATTTAATACTTTTGATCCATTTAAATACCGGAAATGCAGCAATCCGTCAGATCTGAAACTCTACCCTAAGCTTTGAATGCAAAGTTTTAATCACCTTTCGGATCCCAAAGTGGTCATGGGCAGCCCAAGTAGAAGCCTCTGCTGGCATTCGAATATGGCTGCGGGATATTCGGAGTTTTTTGCCGAGAAACAGAATCAGAATCAGAGCACCCACCCAACCACCCATCCACCCACTCGGGCACAATGGTGGAACGTCGAAAGAGCCAGCCGGCCAATGAGGTTTTGAGCTAAAAGTTGAATTGTGCATCGACGGCCCCCCAGGAACCCCGAATCCCCGTGCACAGCGCCTCTGTGTGCGTGTGTTTTCGACTGTCTGTGTGGTATGCACTTGTCTAGACATTGGCTAGACAGTGTAAAACCAAAAAATAACAGCAACAACAATTACAGTAAATGCCGGCGACACAAAACGAAACGAAACGAAATGTTGCACAATCCACGTAGAGCCCCTAAACGAAAAAAAAAATCATGGGAATGGGAATGGGACCAGGAGACATTGTCGACGAGACGGCGGAGACAAATTTTTGGCAATACATTTGACAAATTTCCGTGCGAATGCAGAGTGCGAGCCGCGGCAAGCCTTCGAAAAATCCATTCCACCATTGTTTTCTACTTTTGATTTTATTTGGTAACTAAGTGGAAACTACTGGGTAAACTCCATTTTATCCTCCTGCACTCCGTTTACGAGGCGGCGAACTTCTTCCGCTGGAACGGCGGCGGCAGCGGAGCCAACAGATTGTTTGTCGAAATGCTGACGTTGACAAGTTCGTTAGCGCTCAGCCGAGACACGTGCACCAGGTGCTGCAAAAAACAAGAGGAGTGGAGATGAGAAAATGTTTTCAAATAATGGGTAAAGTGTAGGATTTAGTGCAGAAAAGGTAGGAAATCGTTTCAAATGGTTAGTCGTTCAGTAAGCTCTTAGTTCTTCCCTTCTTACTTTTATAAAATATTTATAATAGTAACTAAATGCAAATTCTAAGAGGATCTTTTAATCATCTTACCTGCCGAGGCAGCTGCGTCTTGAGGCTCAAGCCCTTTGCATTTTCCCCCACTGAAGAGCGGTTTCCGTTTGACAATTTCTTCGTCTTGCCCTTGACCGCATGCTCCTTCGGCTCCAAATGCTGATTCCTCTCCAGCACATACAAGTTGGTTTCGGTGTGAACTAGGAATATGTCGGGATTCCTGGGATCCAGGCTGATGCCACTGATGCTGTGGTGCCTGGTGTCCGGTATAAGGTACTCTTCGGTTTCACAGGTAAAGATCCGATTGACCAGATCGTATTCCACCAGCTGGCCATTGGCGTAGGCCACCACCACCCGCGGATGATCCTCGTGCAGGGAAAGAGCTGTGGTTCCTGCTCGGTGCCTTGGCAGATTCAGCAGGTGTTTGTACTGTTTTCCATGTAGTTTCCAAACCGATATTATCTGATCTGAAGTTCCGGCCACAAGGTAATCGCCTCCTGAAGAAATTACCAGATGGCTGATGGTGCTCTTGCAATGATCACTCAAATCGAAGCTGTTTTGGAAGATTACCCGATCTTCCTTCAGGTTAAACCAGCTAAGACGATTGCTTTGGGGATGGAGCAGTGCCAGTCGCCCCTGCTTTGTGAAGATTATGTGACTCGCTGGTTGCAGTTCCTCTGGCAGATCTTCCACCAGACGCTCCACCTTTAGGGGATTACTCTTCAAACGACTTAAACGCAGTTCCTTCAATGTGGAGTAGCAAATCCAGTTTGCATCGGGTGAAATGGCTGAAGCTTGTATGAAGTTACTCTCCTTGACATTAAGTTGAAGGAGTTTCTGGGGAGGCTGCTCCAAGAGAAGCTCCTCAGAGGCACCAATTGGCTGATCCCAGGGTTTTTTCTTCTCCTCGTCTTGTGGAACCACGGAACCCAGGCGCCACAGGTGAAGACTGTTGGGATAACGTAAGAGCAATAGCTTTTCCGCAATGGCCAGTGAAGCTACGGATCCCTTGAGGAAGGGAGCATGCTGCGATAGGTGTGCCTGCGTCCTTTCGCTGGAGGTTATAGTCAATATTCCATCCAGGCCTCCAGAGAAGATCTGACCGTCTATAACCAAGAGGGATTTCACATAGTGTTTGTGGGCATCGCGCTGCAGAAACTTGATCCAACGCTCGCTGGTGGACTCCTCCCGGCGGATCTGGGTCTTGCTGAAGATCCGGATGAGCGGTGGCTGCATTCCGCTGCACACCAATCGATCCTCCTTTTCATTTACAGCCAAGGCAAATACGTTCTTGTCCAGAACTCGTGTGCAATCGATCTGTGTGGCATTTTCCGCATTCCAAACGGTCACAAATCCCGCCGAATCGCCAGCAATAATCGTGTTATCCGACAGGAACTGCAGGGACCAAACAATTAGGTCCTTTTCGGAAAGGGTCATCGTGTGGAGCGTGGTTCCCTTGAGCACATTCCAGATGCGAACGAATCCCTCGGTGCCCGTGACAAGTTTCGTGCCAGTCTTATCAAACTTAATGCAGAGAACGCGACCTTTTTGCTTGTTGAACAGGGATTTGTAGGTGATCTCGTCATTCTCGATGCTCAGCAGGTTGATGTGTCCCTCCTCGGAACCCACGGCGATTTCCGTTTCCGCGGCGTTCACGTCGAGACTCCAGAGGGCATTCCCCGTGGGTGAGTGCTCGTAGCGAGGCTTCAGGTTTATCACATCCCACTCGATCAGTTTGCCCGTGAGATCCGCGGAAAACAGGCGATTTCCCGCCCATGCCAAAGATTCCACTGGGCAATCGGGCGCCAGGTGGATTACTCGATCGAGGAAGGGCGTGTGCTCCAAGTTCCACAGCTCTATGACGGGTGTTTCACTGGAAAAATGGTACTTGTTAGTTATCTTCATAGTTATCTTTAGTTTTTCATATATTCTTTGCATATTTTACCGACTCAAAGCGAGGCACTTGCTCGATTTGCTGTACGCCAAACTGACAATGCCACGCGGTTTTATCGTGTAGAAGCGAACGTTGTGCAACTGATGCTTGCCCCCTCCCTGGGGTTCCTTCTTGGCAATATTCGTCATCGTATTTAGTTAAAATAATAATTAAATCGCGTAGAAATAAGGAATTAAAACTGAAACAAAATTCCTCTGGTGTTGCACGTGTGTGCCTAAGAGTTGCCAGATGGTCGAGTGCGCGAAGTAAACAAACCGCGAGAGTTGCCATTCACTGCAAAATATACTAGATTAACCCTTGTGTTGCCGCTGTTAAATCAGCCAACAAAAGTTGAAATAAATATATGTATGTAATGTAATGGTTTCAAATATATAATATAAATTAAATAAAAGCCTTATCTATACATTTTGAATCTATTTGAATAGCAACGTTGGGGTTAAAGTGTATTTTTAATTACTAGTATTTATATACCACCCGCACCTGGCCACTCTAAAGCGGGGGTGGTTTTTCGCAAATGTTTTCTTTTGTTGTTGCAGCGGCACGAAAAATAATTTCCAGCTGAAAATTAAACCAATCAGCTAATTAAATTAAGTTACAAAGTCAATAACAGATCATAAAGCATGATATAGCAGAGGAGAAGCTAGAAAATCACACTTGGAAGTACAAATAAAAGCGCTTGCAAAGATGTCGCCGAATTCTGTGTGGACTTTCTGCCTCCTGAGTGGTAAATAAATAAGAAGAAAAGAGGAAAAATCTGAGAAAATAATTAATTATTTATTTATCCCCCTAAAAACAGCGCTCCTTGTGACCTTGGGCTCCACAGCGATTTCCTCGAGGGTTCTGGAACTCAGCGACCGGTTCATCGATGTGCGACACGAGGGTCAATGGTTGGTCCTTGCAGTCCTTATATGATTATGATGGATTATCTGAACTTTTTATTACTATTTCATAGGCTGGTCATGTTCTACGCCCCCTGGTGCGGCTACTGCAAGAAAACCGAGCCCATCTTCGCTCTGGTGGCCCAGGCTTTACATGCCACCAATGTGAGAGTGGGTCGCCTGGATTGCACCAAATATCCGGCGGCAGCCAAGGAGTTCAAGGTGGGATTTTAAAGATTTCCCTTCTAAAAGTAACCATAAGTGTTGTTTTAGCCATCTGCTACTTGAATTTTCACCCTACATTTAAATTAGAGCCCTGCATGAATGGATTCAATGAATTATTTTGAATTTTTTTTTTTTATATGAATGAATTAATTAGAATTTTAAGTTTAATAGAATTGAATAAATGTATGTTTTGTTTCAAAAAAAAGCACAAAAAAATCTGCCAAATTCATTCATTCAAATCGAAATGAATTAGAAAAACATTCAATTTATTTCACATAGAATTTAATTAAACAAATCAGAAATTTCATGGCATACTATGATAAAACAAAAATTAAATGATTCACGCAGGGCTCTAATTCAAATATAGTACATCATGTTCCCAAGACCCATCTAAATACCTCCCATCTTTTAGGTTCGTGGCTACCCCACCATCATGTTCATCAAAGGCAACATGGAGTTCACCTACAATGGAGATCGCGGTCGCGATGAACTGGTTGATTATGCCTTGAGGATGTCTGGACCCCCGGTTCAGCTGGTCACGCGCACGGAGAGTGTGGACATGCTGAAGGGATCGCATACGATCTTCTTCATTTTCGTGGGCCAACAGGAGGGCGTGGTGTGGGATACGTACTACGCGGCAGCCGAGGGCTACCAGGAGCACGGGTTCTTCTATGCCACCAGCGAGGATATCGCTGCCCAGCACTTTGACTTTGAGAAACTGCCAGCGGTGATAGTCTACAAGGAGGAGCAGCACCACTTCTATCCGCACGGTCACTTGGCCCACGAAATGGACCCGAATGAAGTGAACGAAACTGTTTTCCAGTGGGTCAACGTGGAGAGGTTTACGCTCTTCCCGAAGGTCACGCGATTCAACATCCATCAGCTGCTGAAGACGAACAAGTATCTGGTTTTGGCTGTGGTGCAGGAGGACAAGCTCAATCAGATAGCCACCCACGAGCTGGAGTTTCGGGACATGGTCGAGGGCGTGATAAGGAAGCATAGGGCAAGATATCACGAGAAGTTTCAGTTTGGATGGGTAAGTGAAATAAATGGGCCATCTTATACGTACTCATTGAGATATCTATCCTAGATTGGTGAGCCATCCATAGCACATTCCATCATTCTGGACCAACTGCCCACGCCGCATTTGATAGCGATCAATTCGAGCACCCAACACCACTTTATTCCCGACGACGACCCCTTGCAAATGACGCCGCAGGCTCTCCATCTGTTCCTGGAGTCCATCAGCAACGAGAGTGCAGTTGCCTATGGCGGAGATACGTATTTTGTGCGCTTGAATCGTGCGCTTTTCGAGGTTCGTAGAGCTCTGAGGGATATGTGGCTGGGAAATCCCGTGCTGACCACTGTTATCTTCGGCCTGCCGCTGGGATTCCTCTCGCTCATTATGTACTCCATTTTCTGTGGCGACTGCTTGGTCACCGAAGAGGATTCGGATGAGGATCACGAAAAGAAGGAGTAAGAGGACAAGTATTTAAGATGATCTCGAAGTGAATTTCCGAGGAACCAAGAGTAGATTCCGCATCCCATCCCCTAGAGAAACTTTTCTACCGCCTACAAGTGTAAGCCAAATCTAGTCAAACTTCCGAACCGCTTCAAGATCCGCCATTTGACACAAGGAATTCGATTCGCATTCGTGAGTCTGGTTCTTTTTTTATCGTTTTAAGTTAGTACAAGTAATAAACATGATTTAGCGGAGGCGAACTTAAAAATTAGAAGCTGGGCGGGATATCGGATGGGATCAGCAGCCGTAATCCTCGTCGTCGTCGCTATCGATGGCCGCTCTACGGCGATCGTACTTTACGGAGGACTTGCTCTGCGGCATCTGGGCATTGACGCTTTCGAGGATGCTCACGAACTGGGCGTCATCGAGTTTTCCGCGCACCTGACCCATCTGGGCCATGCGGATGACCATGTTCTCGAACATTTGCGCCTTCTCCGGCTTGCTGACTTTGAGGGTGTTCACTGTGGGATAATAAAAGTGCTAAATACTGAGTTTCTAGAGGGATTCTATGGCACTCACGTCTTGCCCTGGCCTGCTGGTCCAGAACTTGAGATAGTATCGAGTGCTTCATCTCCTCCTGGGCGCGCATCTGCTCCTGCTGGGCCTGTTGCTTTTCCGCATCATTGCCACCGCCACCGCCCTGAAAAATGGAGTAAAAGGTGAAAGGTCATTGAAGGATAGTGCTTCAAAGGAACAGGTGTCTCAGACCAACAAGATGACTCATAAGGGTTTGAACACCTTGCCTAAAACAACTTAAAAATAACAAATAACCAAAGTAAACAAATCAAGTGATTCTTAATATATTTTAGGTACTGTTTTTTATTTTTCGTTCTATTATTTTCTCCAAGTTATGGCTATTTTTAGAAATTCTCTAGAGGAATCTAGCCGGTTTGGTTCCTGCCAAACTATTTTACTTACAAATTGCGACTGCATTTGGGACATGCGCTGGGCGCGTAAGGCATCCAAATCACCATCCGACATTCTGAGTTCTTTATTTTAATAGATTTATGGCAGTTAATTAAGAAATTCCTGGGTTTTTGATTGTATAAAAATAAAATCACGCACTTTTGGACAAAAAAGTGTGCAGTCAAACAGTGTGACCCTGCTTTCTTTCGTCCATCGATAAATCCCAAAACTCACAAGTGCGTTGCAGCAGCCCTGGTCAATCGGTGTTTTCGAGAAGAAGAAGAGCTGAAAAGGGAAAATTAAAATATCACCGAAGGAAAACAAACAAATAAACGGGATAAAAGGAGTATTACCCATTAAATACCATTGAAAATGTCTGCTCCGCTGGAGAACCTTGAGACCCAGTTGGAGATGTTCATCGAGAATGTGCGACAGATCCGCATCATTGTCAGCGACTTTCAGCCACAGGGTCAGAATGTACTCAACCAGAAGATGTAAGAAATAGATACATTATGGTTAAAATATATGTGTTATATATCATATCTTATAATTTTCAGTAACAGCTTGGTAACCGGCCTGCAGGAGATCGACAAGCTCCGTTCCCAAGTGCAGGACGTCTATGTGCCTTTTGAAGTATTCTTCGACTACATCGACCAGGATAAGAATCCCCAGCTGTACACCAAGGACTGCGTGGAGAAGGCACTGGCCAAAAACGAGGAGGTGAAGGGCAAGATCGAGAGTCTAAAGAAGTTCAAGTCCAATCTGCTGCTGGAACTGTACAAAACCTTCCCCAACGAGATGAACAGCTATCGCGCCTATCGCAAGGACTCCATGTGAATCAAGGATACGCCACCTGAATCCTAGTTAATAAGCCACGTCTTGGAATAAATTTATACTTATGTACATAAAGCTAGCTATTATTATTGTCTGGGTATTGTAATACACTTTGTGTAAGATTCTTTGGATTTTTGTAAGGTAGTTTCATGAACATTAGTTTGTTATAACTCTATATTTGGAATTAATATGCATTTTTAGATCGTTTTGAAAAGGTTTTTGTTGAAACTAATGAGTTTGTATGATTTCAAGATATATAATATTTTTTCGAATCATTATTATTTTTTAAACATTTTGAAGAGTAAATTATTACTAAAACATTTTTAAATTAATTTTAAAGCATTAAATAATTTTATAATTAAAGTTTTTTTATATTCTACAACCCTATTTTAAGAGCGTTGCCACATTAGTTTAAAAACAGCTGTTCTTTGTTTTGGTCAGCTTGTGTAATTATTAGAAGTTTCAATTGTCGATAAAAATAGTTAAATTTAGTGTAAAATATGCGAAGTGTAATTAGTAGCTTTAAATGTGCTGTGAGGGCAACCAATTACACACCAATTACCAAAAATGTTGTGCCGTTTAAACGTTTACGTTTTCCTCAAATACGCCAATTTTCCGTTGAATCGTCGCCGGCTTGTTGGAATTGCCAAAAGAAATCGAACTTGAGACAGAATATGATATGTTCAGATTGTGGACACTTGCAGGATGTAAATGCAGGAATAGTGAGTATATATCCACATTTTTGTTTAATTTATTTAACCATTGCTTTTTGTAGAATTACTTCGAATTGCTGAGCTTTCCCATCCAGTTTTCTTTGGAGTCCCAGAAGTTGACAAAAAGTTTTCGCCAACTGCAGACTATAGTTCATCCTGATAAGTTTAGTAATAAGTGGGTATAGTAATATGCTACTTGAAATATTCAATTCTAAAATCTCTGCATTTCCAGAACCTCCCGTGAGCAAACCAACTCCGCCGATTGGAGTTCCCTGATCAACAAGGCCTACAAGACCCTGGCCACTCCCATAGAACGTGGTCAGTACCTTCTTCGTTTGGCGGGCGAGCAGATGCCCCAGGATAATAGCGCCTTGAACAAGGAATTCCTAATGGCCATGATGGAACGGAATGAGGAGGTGGAGGAGGCGGAAGACGCGAAAACTCTGGAAGATCTTAATGCCATACTTATAAAGGAACTGGAGGAAATGGCCCAGAAGCTAAGCCACCTGTTCGAGAGCAAAGACCTTCAAGGAGTCAAGGGAACCCTCGTGGAGATGAAGTACCTCCTGAGTATTCAGAGCAGCATCAAACAGAAGCAACAAAGTTTGCTGGGCAGCTGAGAATTAATAATTAATCGATCTGCCAATCGGTTCCGATCACGCACACACACACAACACACCTGTTGCTATCTATCAGCTGTTGAGTAAACAATAACACCGACTTCGTTTGTTTTATAATGTGAATAAAAATCGCGATACAACAGCTATGGTCGCTGCAATTAGTTAATCATCCATTAGTGGAGGTTTAGAACGGGTTATTATCCAGATTTCTATGTAAGCCCCTAAGAGTTTTTCCCCTTTTCTCGCCGCCCACCCAGTGCCACGGTCAACACTTTGGAAATAATATAATCAATTAATCGCGGCACTATCTGTTGGACCCAAGACCCCAGGGGGAGACCCCTTGAAGAACCTAGAAATCGAATACATCGTCATATAGCCAACTCATGCCCACTCACACACAGGCTCAAGACATGTGTATAGGCGGAAAAATCGGCAGGGTTTATATAAATTTGAATCGCTTGCCGCTTCAGCGGACAGTTCTTATTCACCTGTGGAATTGCCTGGACTTCAGGCTGGGTAACTTTTTTGGATGCCGGATAACTTTAGAATAAGTGCAGCGAAACTAAGGAATTACTTGCAGAGAATGACAATCAGACGTATTTGTCTGAAATAATCAATACCTCCTGATAAGGTATATGTAAAACAAAGAACCACTTTAGAAAACTAACGATTTGTTTTGGTTAGAGAGGTAGCTGAAGATAACAAAGACTTATAAATCGCACGCAAGCAAGAATACCTCTTAAAAAACTTGAAACGAGATATAATAATACCAAAATATTTGGAAATACAATATCTCAGGAATTGCAACTATTAAATCCCTAATCTTGCCATTCAAAATAATTAGAGAAAATAAGTAGCTACCCAGAAGGTATAATAGTTATCTCTGGATTATAAAGCTCTTAATAAAGTTTTAGAAATAAATCTCAGGAATAATTCAGAAATACCTGCAAGATCCTAAAAAAAATGCAGAAACTCTTCACTGGCCTGCTGATCTTCATCGGCTCCCTGCTGACCGCCTCGGCAGACATCTCTTCGCCCATCATAGGGGTTCTCACCCAGGAGGTTTACACCGATGGATTGATCTCGCGACACTTCGATAACAAGACCAGCTATATAGCCGCCTCGTACGTGAAGTATCTGGAAGGAGCTGGAGCCCGAGTAGTGCCGATTTGGTAAGTAATGCAGACAGATACAGGAACTGTAAGATCTTATCGTAAAAAAGCTATTTCACCAAGCCCAGATAAGGTTTATAGGGTGGCATTAACTATTCAAACACGTGTATTAATAGAACATAAATTCATAAAAGAGTAAATTTGATTTGGTGACCGAAATTGCGTTGTATTGATAAGATTGCTTGAAATCAATTAATAAACAATTTTCTTAAACCCTCGACAGGATCGGACGCAATCGCAGCTACTATGAAGATCTCATGCACAAGATAAATGGGCAAGTATAAATATAAATTCAAGGAAGTTCCCGAAACTAAATTTATGGATGTCTTTACAGAGTTTTGTTGCCCGGTGGAGCCACTTGGTTTAATCAGAGCAATGGTTATGCCGACGCAGGCGAACATCTTATCCAGTTGGCCATCGAACGGAATGATCAGGGAATTTTTATGCCCGTTTGGGGCACTTGTCTTGGCATGGAACTGTTGGTCTACAAACTGGCCAATGGCACTGAGCATCGGATTAACTGCGAGGGAACGGGAATTGCCCTGCCAATGGAGTTTAAGGAAGGTAAAGATCAAAATAGGTATATACAATATTGTAGTTTCACATTCTAAAATCTACTTTTATCTAGATTACAACCAAAGCCGCCTATTTGCCTCGATCAGCGAAGATGTTGTGACCGCCATGATCAAGGAGAATGTGACTTATCACTGGCATCAATTTTGCTATACGGAAAAGGATTTCGAAAGGGATCTACTGAACGAAACTTGGCGGGTTATGTCCTTAAATCACGACTGGAATGGCGTAGAGTTTATTTCCACCATGGAGCATAAAAAGTACCCCTTTTACGGAGTTCAATTCCATCCTGAGAAGCCCTTGTACGAGTTTACTAAGAAAAGCATTCCACACACGGCTGCAGCTGTAATAAGTGGTCAATTCTTTGCCGATTTCTTTGTGACTGAGGCTAGAAAAAGTATTCAGAGCTTCGCAAATGCCACGGAACAGGCCAGAACACTAATTTACAACTATAAGCCTGAGTACACTTCGATTCTGGGCTCCTCGTACATCCAGCAATATTTGTTTACCAACGACGAAATGGAAATTCCTGATATTCCAGATATCCCCGACGAGGGCGGCGATGGCGATGGCGGTAGTAGTGGCTACCCCTATGTGCCCATCATTGTGGATGGCGGTGGAGGTAGTTCTGCCATCCTACCGCTCTTTGCTGGGTTACTCTTAACCTTGCTGATCCTATTAATTAATTAATTGTTTGAACTTTGGTCAACTTAGCGTAGAATATCTTATCTTGATACCAAATTCATTTACGCATGCGATATTAATGAAATTAAGTTTTCATTTTCTTTGATCGATTTTATAATGTTATCTGTGAAATTATCAATGTGATTGTTGTTCAAATTATTTACTTGCCAGCAAAATATTAAAAAGATTGTCCCTGTCGCCATGGGGGTCTCTGACTCAATTGGTAAATTAATGTTTCTTTTAATAGATATAATTTCCAAGAAGGGATTACTTGATAAGTGGCTTAAATATAAATCAGCTCCTTGTTGCTTAAATCTGGGTTGCCATATTTTGTTTAAGTGAGATTATAAGTTTTGACATAAAAAAAATTTGTTTAATAAATTAATTAATTGAGCGAAAGATTGTATTGAACTAATATAATAATTAATAAGATAGAGTGCCTTTGAGTAGTGTGTTCAGAAAAACAAAGGTTAAATGTTAAAATTGTAAACAAAGCAGTTCATTGAAAAAAAATTTCATTTTGGTACTTTCTACTTTTCTAGGTAAAATCGCGCCTCATTCCCGAAAGTAGGCAAACATTTCTTATAGTAGGTATGGTTTAATTATTTTTGCACATTTGTGGCTGTTGAAATTCTGCCAAGTGAGAATGCATTCTGCTCGGTTTGTTTACGTTTAGTTTGCTTTTGTACGGCTATTCAGTCGGCCGTAGTCGGGAATCCCGAGAAGACGATGGCGGAGAGCGCAGGTCCCAGTGGGACATCTCTGAACGACATACCCACAGTGGGCGTTTTGTGCATCGATATCGCCACCCCATTGCAGCGGCACTTTGGTAGGAAGTTCTACAGCTACATAGCCGCCTCCTATGTCAAGTTTCTTGAGGCATCCGGTGCCCATGTCGTGCCCATTTGGTAAGTAATGATGCAACTATATATGTTCAATGCACTGATTGAAGGGCAGCCAATCGAATTGATAAAAATTTGAGACACTAAAGAGCACTTCATATATTCTGTCGCTAAAAACGTGCAAAAGTTGAATGACTAAAGGGTTTAGAATCGATTTATATGGTATACGTTTGGTTTAACGCGTATATATAGTGAATATTTTTTATTAGCCGAACGCATTCCAAGCATTTCTTTACCGAAGTCACGTATGCACTTAGTTGGCTTTGTCGGCGTTGTTAACTTAAATTTTCAATCTGTCCAAGTCATTGGGTCTCAAATATGGCCAAAAGTGGCACAGCTCTTGGAGGCCGCCGGGGCATCGGTTGTACCCATCTGGTGAGTTGAGCAGACTGCCAGCTAAATGATAAACAAATTGCATAAACGAACAGAGCTATGAGAATTAATTATCTCACTGGGCAGGGTGCCAAGATATTCTGGCAGAATGCAATGCGATTAAAGAATGAGGCGAGAAAGTGCTCATACTTAAGGTTTATTTATTGTAGCCGGTAAGCGATTTCGCTTTCATTTTATGATTTAAAATTATTTAAAATACCTGTATTATTTATTTGAACTAAGAGTTTTTAAGTTTAAATTGGTTACGCAAAATTACCATGAAATTATCTAATTAAATAAATAAATTTAGAAAATCTAAAAATCAATATTCTTGCAGGATCGGTAGGGAACGATCATATTATGAATCGATGATGGGTCAGATTAATGGCATCCTTTTGCCAGGCGGAGCGGTCTTTATCGACGAGGCAGATAGGCAAGCCCATCCGGATCTGACCAGCGATTGTGTCCGGAGTGCCGAGCACATTTACCAACTGGCCATGGAGCGGAATCAGCGGGTGAGGAAGCAGGATGATGTCGGAGGATACTTCCCAGTTTGGGGAACTTGTCTGGGATTCCAGCTGCTCCTTATCCATGCCGCCGAAGAGCCCAAGATTCGCACCGATTGCCAGCCCATGAGGGAAGCGATGACAGTAAAACTAACCGAGGATTACCGGAACTCACAGTTCTTTGAGGGATTAGCGGATTCTGTGGCTGAGGAGATGGAAAAGCATCCCTTTGCCTGTCACCAACATCGCTATTGTATCACGAAAGAGAGTTTGGAGTCCTGTGGACTAGCCAACGATTGGCATCCTCTGGCCACCCAGAAGGATCCTTCAGGACTGGAATTCATCACGATTGTCGAGCACCGTCGTTTTCCCATCTTTGGATGCCAGTTTCATCCCGAACGCGCTGCTTTCGAGCAGCTCTTTGCCTCAAAGGATCTTTGTTACTTGGCTCATTCCCATTTTGGCATCAAGCTGTCGCAAATCTTCGGCAGTCGATTTATTGATATCTGTCGTAGAAACACAAATCGATTTAATAGTCCAAATTTAAAAGTGCGTCACCTCATCTGGAACTGGCAGCCAGTTTTCTCCGGTCAATTTGAGGACTCCAACTGGCTGCAGTGCTATCTTTTTGAGAAGGATGAGGACTATTCGAAGGACAATAACGATTCTGCGGAATTTAACTCGACTGGTGCTTTGTGATAAAATTGTGATACATTTTATAGTATATAAAGTTAGGAATACAATATGTAAATTAAATGTTATATTTTCTTATAAGTTAAACTCTATTGTTGCAAAATAAAAGAAAATACATTAGTTATAAATATTTGTATACTGAATAGCATTGTGATTAATAATAAAATAAATAATAATTTGGCGAATAAAATATACATGTATGCATTTAAACTCAATATAACTTTTTTAGGACAATTTTTGTTTTTGTTTTTAATTAATACCAGCACTTTTCGAGGAAATTTGTGTTTGATTACTTACAAAATTTTGATTCTGCCTCAAGTTATTAAATTTATTTGCAAAATTACTTGTTGATTCGAGCCTGTTTCCCTTGGCTTCACCCTCCTTTACATTTTTCCACTCATCTTTTCCTATTTCCCATTTCTTGTGCTCAACTCACGGAGTAGTCGGGAGTACTTTTCCACATTTGTCTCATGCAAATTTCACGCTGTACTTTTCCGTTCAATTTTTGTGCGCGCTTTTCTTCCTTTTTTTGTGTTCAAGGATGGAAAGCTATTTTCTGTTAGCTCCTGTTTTCCCTCAAGCAAATGGAATATTTTTGTTCATTTTTAAGGGTCTTCGTTTGGCAAAGGGTATGCTTATTTTTAAGTGATGTGGGAAAAGAGTGCAGAGTATTTGGATTTAAGCAATGAATATAGTATATTAATTGAATTGCACAATTAAGTGTTTACTAAATCGGTGATATGGATTCTAACTTTTGGAATATAATTTTCAAATATAGGATTAATTTTCTATTTTACAAAATATAATTTAAATCTTTTATTTGATGTTCAGACTAATTTTACACAGAGTGAGGCTGTTTTCGGTTTTCTTATGAGATTATTCCTTTTTTCCAGGGTAGCAATGAAACCAAATTTTTAAAATTTGTCTATTCATTGGGTTTGTTGTTTGGCAGGCCCATTTTCGTGCTTCTACTCTTAAAATTTCCACTCGGGGGGCTCGTCAAAAGGTTGGCTGCTCATAATTAGCGCGTGACAGAACGGAATTTTTTCCCGTCAGGCTTATGGTTATTTTCTAAATTCCTCCGAAAATTCCATTAGGCGGACACTGGCTTGGTTATTTATTAAGGTTTTTTCTCGCCAGGACTAAAGTTCAGTCTGAGGTGTGAACACGAATTATTGCTGTCGGTGGAGCGGCTTGTTATGGCACATGTTTTTGTCTGATTCCCATTATTGTGTGCGGCTTCTAGGAGCTGCCACTCTCATTGTTATGTCCTGGTATCTCTGCGTCTGGGTCTCGGGCTTTTCCGCACTGTCTGGCTTCCTTTCTTTCGCCCCCTAGCATTTTCTTTATCCCTCTATTGTAACTAGTTTTTTTTTTCGATCTGGAATCGCATGCTAATGAGTCTAGGTAAATGTCTAGCCTTTTCTTGACTTCTAAATCATCGTTATTAAAGTTGCAATGTGGTTTTTGCTTTTGTCCCTTTCCTTTCCCTTTATAAACATTTTTATTTATGATCCTGCGTGGAAAAATATGGAGTGAAAATATTTAAAATCAATCTATATTTATTGATTTTTTTATGATTTTATTTATTTAAAATTTATAAAATTAGTTAAGTTTATATAAACCTTTTTTTAATGGTTCTCCATTTATTTTATTTAAATTCACATCTTGTTTTAGTAGTTTTGGGTGTTTCGTAAGACTTATTCCTAAAATGTTTGAGCATTGACAAACACGTGCTCTCATTGATTTACATATTACCCCGTTACTACAATATTTACATGCGCTGCCTTTGTTTCGCTTTATGTGCACTTACGTTATTGTGAGAGAAGAAAAAAATAGTCAGCATAAATGCCGCATTAAATGCCCTTGTGCCCATTTTATAGACTCACTCACATAGATGAGTGTATTCACACTTGCAGAGACACACATGGGCAGGGGTAGGTTTGCAAAAGGGGTTTGTTTGCCAGGGAAAATTGGGGTAGTCCAAAGTTGGGCCAAAGTCTAAAAGTAAAAGTTGGCATATTTCTGTTTTCTCAACTGAAAATTAAGCCGCCTTTTCGCAAGCGCACACATACACACACAGTAATACCCCTCTCTTTTTGCCACCTTTCTCATTCTGTGTGTGTGTGTGTGTGCTGGTGCGGCTTTCACAATGACGTCATAGGTATGCTTCTTATAGGGCCGGCCTTTTGCCATTCTATAACCTACTTGCCGTGCATTGAACCGGCCTTCTCGCTCTCTCTCCCTCGCTCTCTCATGGCTACTTTCACCCATCTCCCACACCCCCTACTTTCTCCCATTTTTTGAGATTTGCCTCTCTTACTACCAGTCTCTGGTTACTTTTTTCTCTCGCCGGAGAGCGCAACTGCAGGCTGCAGCTCGGCGTTTTGGGCCAATGAACTCGCGCTGCAAGGACATTGCAGTTGCCGTCGAGTGACATTACGAAAGGCAACAACAACAAAAGTAGCAGCAGCAGCAGCAGCAGCAGTTTGACAAATTCTGCAGAAGCCAAAGGTCCTTTGGACACCAGGACACCACCCCAACCACCACCCCGCAGTTGTGCGGTAAGCCCCCTCTAGACGAACAATTTACGCTGATTTGGCATTTAAACTGCAGTTGAAGGATACACACCCAGCTTTCGAAAATGCCGTAGAGAGCCTGTCTGTGTGTGTGTGAGTGCGTGATATTTGCGTGCGTGTGAGTCTGACTCTGACTCTGATAATCCTTTCAACTGACCCGACAAATGGGCGTGACTTGGAACTGGCTTTGCCCAGATTTTGAAAATTATAGGTACTGTATTTTGCTTTGTTATTAATCTCTTTTGGGTTTGTATTTGTTAAGCTTTAAGAGCTTACTGTTCCTAGTACTTTAGCGTAAGGGGATGTACGATTTGAGTTTTAATTATCATTCAGGTATTTTTGTAATTTAAGATAATGTACAAATTATATCTTAATTTTTAAGTGTGTAATTTATAAAGACTATTTCTTAGTTATGGTTAGGTTATTATGTAATAACATATAATATTTTGGTTTATTAATCAAGCTCAAACAATTATTGACGATGAAAAAATAGCGCCGATGGTACTCTTAACATAAAAAATTTATGTTCACTATACATTTGACTAAATAAATATAAATTGTTCAATTTTTTGTCAAAAGAATGATATTTTTAGGAAAATCAAGGTATCAAGGATTTATAATTTTGTTAAAATGGGTTCCCCAAAATTTAAAATTTTTTTTTTAAATAATTTGAATGAAAATATAAAAATAAAGAAGATGGATTCACCTATGACACTATATGTTTTAATGATGAAGGCAATGGATACAGTATTTGTGAACAAATATATAGTCCTTATAGACTTTTAATTTCAAGTGCCAGCGGACCTTTAGGAAAATCCCCCAAGCAGAAATTCCTGTGCTTATTTTTAATTTCCATTCTTCCGTTTTCAATTGAAAATTTCGTCCATAACACTCAAAGTTCATATCTCTCCCCAATGCCACGCACCCGCAGAGCTTTTAACTATCGGCCTGTCCCGAGTTCCTCGAAACGCTCGAAACCCCGTAGCAATTAAAATTGCCATTTTCATCCGCTCATTTGTCAAACCGTGTTTTTGTTGGCCTCTGACTTCAACTGGCCCATAAACATTTGTCGGTCACTTTGGCCCATTTTCGTTGCCTACTTTCGGGGGCGGGGTGGGGGGTTGCTTTTTTTTTTGGTCTAATGGGGCGCGTGTGGTGTGGTAAGCCTCTTAAATGCTAAAGGCCCAAATGCTATCGGCCTATTCGGTGCTGCTGATTTTGGTATTTTATTTTTACATTTCTCCGGCAATTATGGGCTGTCGCCTCTCGTTTGGCTAAATTTAACCTGAAAGGCAGGGCGTGACATTCAGCAAGCCACCAAATCGGCTCTTTATATCTATATATATATATATATGAGGGTGTGTGAGTGCTCTGCTTGTGACGTCATCCGCGCTCTTGCAATGTTCGAAGGCCAATCGACAGCGGGCCAACACAAAAGCTTCATTATTTGCAAACATACGAGTATTTGGGTTAAGCCCGCGCCCATGTGGCATCCCTTGAAAGGATTAGACCAAGGATGTGGGCCGCATCTTCATCAGTCATCTCGTTGAGGTGTCGGTGTCGCTAAGAATTTTAGTGGGTCAAGTGTCCTTAAGGATTTTGAAATTGTTTCGAGCTCTGACCTCTGATCTCGGGACATCGAGCAGAATCCTTGCGTTGCCACAATGCAAATTGTTGCAATTGTCCTTTTCAGGGGGCAGCGATGGGCGCGTCTCAAGGTCGGTGTATTCAGATTAGCTGCAGTTTATTTATGTCTCGGCATCCAAGTATCCGTTTTAGCCCGGTTTATATGCAAGGCACAACGCGCCAGAATGACGCCTTTGGTTTTTGCTGGTTTTTGGTTTATTAATAAGTGCGCAGGGGGAGGCGGTGACTGCTCAGCTGAACATGAATGTTACGAGGGCACAAGGGGGCGTGTCCTGCATATAAATAAACCAAAAAAAAAAAATTGGACCAGCAACCGCAGGAAGGAAACTGTACCAAATGCAGTTCCCTCGCCGGTGGCCTTAGTCGCAGTCGATTCAATTAGGTGACAAAGCTTGATCACACCTGCACTGAAAACATTTTGTAGGTAAAGGTAAAATAACTAAAAAATGTTTACCGATATAAACTTGATCGTTAGAAATTAAATATTTGCCTAAAAATTACTTATAACAAATGAGGTAAAGTAAACAGTCAGAGAATCCTTCCTTAAAATAAGTAATAGGAATATTTATTCACTTAAAATGTATAATTATACCATTTAAGATCAATATGATCCGATCAAAGATCAAATTCGGCTAAAATCTAGTACTGACCTTTAATATCAGTTTCTTTGGTTCCTTACAAACCTATCAAAAAAGATGCAAGACTATTGCGATACAATTTTATTTTATCTCCTCTGCCTGACGCCTTCAAGTTCCGGCGGAGGAGGAAAAGGGGTTTTCC